TTGTCAGCCAAGAATAATATATCCTGCAAAACTCTCGGTCAAATTTGATGGTGAAATTAGGTCATTTCCAGATAAACACAAGTTAAGGGACTATGTAAAAACCAAACCAAACTTACAAGAATTATTAAAGGGAGTCCTTTGATATGAGAACAAACAATATCAGCTCACAGGCTAAAACTAGGAAGCAGGATCGTACCAGACAGATACTAATCTAGGAAATGAACTCTCAAGGACTACCCAAGACGAAAAGAAATACAATAGGGAATCAGAGCAATTAATCTGTAAATGACAACATCAGAACAATAAGAGGGGGAATAAATGGTGTAGGTATAGAACCTTCTAATGGAGAGGAAGGTAAGGTGATATCAAGTAATAATAGACTGCTTCAAACTTAGAAAGATAAGGGCAAATTTCATGGTAACAACAAAGAAAGTTAAAAAACCTACTCATCAAAATAAAGAGGAAAAACATAAAGTCCCAGCAAAAAGAAAATAAATGAAAAGAAAATCCACAAACAAAAGGAATTCGGCACAAGAAAGTAAGAGGGACAAAGAAAAAGCAAGCACCACAAAAAAGCACTACAAAATGACAGCAATAAACTCACACCAATCAATAATTACACTGAATTTAAATGGCCTAAATGCACCCATAAAGAGACAGAGACAGAACGGATAAAAATACAGGATCCATCAATATGATGTCTACAAGAGACTCACCTTAGAAACAAAGATGTGAATTTATTAAAAGTCAAATGTTGGAAAAAATATATCAAGCTAACAACTACCAAAAAAGACCAGGAGTCGCAATACTAATCTCAGGTAAAATACACTTTAAAACAAAATCCAGCATAAAAGACAAAGAAGGACACTACATAATGATTAAAGGGACAATCCATCATGAACACATAATCATAATAAACATCTATGCACCCAATGACAGGGCTCCCTAATACATAAAACAAACTCTAACAGTACTGAAAAGAGAAATTGACAGTTGAACAATAATACTAGCAGACTTCAACACACCCCTTTCAGTAAAGGACAGAATATCTAAAAAGAAACTCAGCAAAGATACACAAGACCTAAAGGGCACAATCAGCCAACTTGACCTCGTAGACATATATAGAACACTCCATCCAACAGCTCAAAAGTACACATTCTTTTCCAGTGCACATGGAACGTTCTCCAGAATAGACCACATCTTAGGCCACAGAGCAATCCTCAACAAGATCCAAAACGTTGAGATAATACAAAGT